ACTGCAGGAGCTTTACAACTACTTTTCTTCATTCTTTAAACGTTGCTCAATTTTGCAACAGTATTTTGAAAATATCACTTTAAAGACACTCTCCGACACCAGATGGAAAAGTAGAATTCAGGCTTTAAGACCGTTGGAAAACGATTTGAAGGGAAATTTGAGAGAGTTAATAATTATTCAAGAAGATCAAACAAGAGAGACATGGAATCAAAACCTCAAGCAAAAATGTTGAATCAGATGGTTTCGTCGTTTAAATTCATTTGTTCCATTAACATCTGACACGATATTTTAAATTTAGTAAATGTGGCAAATGAAATAATGCAAAATTCTAAATGTGATTTACAAATCGTGAGTGGCAGTTTACAAAATCTTACATCAGAACTCAATAATCGTAGGTGGCCCACCAGCGGCCGAGCGGTAAAGACGCTGAACACTGGTAGTTCGGTCTGAGGTTCGAATCCCGCGAACGGGCTGGCTGCATGGGCGTTTTCGTGGTTTCCCCATGTGTAACGTATATACGAGCCAGTTTCCCTTAGAAAGTCCTCCACGAAAGGCATCCCTCCCTTTAGGCAGATAGCCCTCGTGTGCTTTGCCATAATTAAATACACCACCACACCAATAATCGTAGATCAGATGAAGCGTATGAACATGCAATTACCAATGCAAGTATCATTGCTGATGATTTGGGGGTGGATAATTTTCCACAAAGTCGAAACAAGTTTAAAAAGAAACTATTTGAAGATGAACAAACCAATCAACAATCCGAGACAAAAATTTAAGGTTGAATTTTACAATATAATATTAGACACTACTATTTCTTCAATTACTGAAATATTCAGTCAATTAAAAGGTCATTACAATTACTTCACTATATACCTAATTTAAAAAACTGGAGGGACTATGAAATTTTAAGACATTGTAAAGAATTAAAACAAAAATTAATGGATGCTAAAAATGTTAATGAAAAGGATATTGATGGATTAAATTTATTCGAAGAAATAAAATCCTTACGATGTTTTACCAAAGAGGATATGTCACCTATTGATGTTTTAAATTATATTTATGAAAACAATCTTACCGATACATTTCCAAATATTGCAATAGCTTTATGGATTTCTTTAACCTTGTCAGTTTCGGTGGCTACCGGAGAATGAAGTTTTCCAAAACTTAAAATTATAAAAACTAAATGCGATCTACTATGGCGCAGGAGATATTATCGGACTTGTCAATTATATCCATAGAAAGAGAAATTTTGGATAAATTAAATATAAAGGAATTGATACGCGCGTTTGTAGCTGCTAAAGCTAGGAGAACCAATATTTGAATGTATGTATTTTCTAATTTTTATATTTTTCTTAAAAAATTTTTTATCATTGTTTTGTTTTAAAATTTATGAAATAATAAAAAACAATAAGACAGAAAGGTGTTTTAATATTATAATTTTAAAGCTTTTCAGTTCGAAAGTCACATTTTGAATATTATAAAAGAGTATTTCGCATATAATTTGTAGAGTGCAACAGAACCCCATAAAGGGGCGCCGAATTCCAATTTGAACAAGGACGCCTAATACCCACGCGGAGGCCCTGAGGAGAAGGATCTTAAAAACTTAAAAGAAGACGGATTCTATTTTATATATATAAGTCTTGTTTTAAGCTTACACATATTAATATAGTGCGTCCATGGCTTCCTACGCTTTCGCGTCCCTGTGCCAAAGCGTGCGGCCTTATTTACGCCACTTATTTACCTTTATTTACGCCACTGGCCATATACATCATAGGCAGGATAACAGTCTGAAATAAACACGGAAATATGCAATTACTAATGCCACCCAGGGAGGTATGGTAATTAGGGGAGTTTACTTCCATACCGAAGGACCCGGGTTCGAATCCCTTAGAAAGCATGGCTGTAATTGTCTGTCCCTTCATATGAGGTAACGAGGCCCACCAGCGGCCGAGCCGTAAAACCGCTGAACACTGGTAGTTCGGTTCGAGGTTCGAATCCCGCGAACGGGCTGGCTGCATGGGCGTTTTCGTGGTTTTCCCCATGTCTAACGTGTATACTAGCCAGTTTCCCTTAGAAAGTCCTCCACGAAGGCATCCCTTCCTTAGGCAGATAGCCCTAGTGTGCTTTGCCGTATTCTCAATACAACAATACACCATATGAGGTAACGGTGGCCCACCTATTAGGTGCTTCCTTAATAAAGTATTCACTGCTTCCGGCCTTACTAGTGGTCAAGCCTAGGTCGACTAAGTGCCCACCAATGAGAAAAAACAGTAATTATTGATTAACATTTTTGGAATAAATTATTTCATTGCAAATATTTTGATGATATTCATTTTGTAACATGCAAGTCTTAAAATAGGGATAAAAATTATACATAAGGCAAAAACTTGAAATCTGTTTTTAATATTTAGAACAACATCTATGCTAATAAACTTTAAAAATACAGGCGTCTGAAAAAAATGTGAGCCACTGTATATTATCTCGTGTGATTTATGAAGAAATGCATTTAATTCATGTGTACTGTGAAGTCGCAGCTTATGAATTTAATTCACTTGTTGAAGGGCGTTCGTCAACGAGAAGTTTCGTAAACTGAAACACTCAAATCCCCCCTCCCATAAGAATAATGTAAAATGGATCAGATCATTTCTGCATCATAGATGATTTCTTATTTAAACTTTCCAACAGTATCTGTGCATAAGTTTTGCAATACAAAATCATAATCAAATATAAATGGACAATAGAAATCATAGATAGAAATTATCTATTATAAAAATAGAACTTGAATAAAAATAGAAAATACTTTTATAATTGATGATTTCTATTTTTGGATTTCAAATCCCAAAATAGAAATCATCAATTATAAAACAAAAAAGATAAACACAGTATGAAACATATAAGGTAGACGAAAACATAATTTAATTTCGCTGTGCCTGTACGAAGAAGAGTAAACGGCATAACTGGAAAAGATGCTATTTATTATTTAAATGCAAAATTTCCTACTGTAAAATCACCCAGATTACTGTCTGGGTGATTTTAAAGATGCGCCTTCTACCTTTTCTTTAAGCGCCACTCTGCTTTAGACTCAATGGGCCTCTGTTTTATTCAAAATTTTTCCATTGTGATTTATTGTTCCTACAACGTTTAAAATCATTTCTAAAGTGAGGCGTGGTACTGTGATTGACAATGCTTATGCTGTAGCTTGCTGCTACTTTATCAGGAGGATATCAATACTTCATCAGGAGGTTATCGTTGCGTTATAAATCTTATCCCATTTCGCACAAATTTCTCAGATCAGAAAACTGGAATAATTTTTCTTTCTTCTTCTGCTTTTGAAGAATTTCTCATCCACAATTATCTTTTGTTGCTGCTTCTGAAGCTCTAGTTCTTTCTTACTTCTCCAAACCTTCATTGTTGAACAGCTAGCCCAGGTTTTGTTTAGGGACATTATAAGATATTTTCCCCCTCCTTTCAGTATGTCTTCGTGGTGTAACGGTAGCACACTCGTCGCGTATTCGAGAGGTCCAAGTTCGAATCCCGGCGAGGGCACTGCGAATTGTTCATGCCTCCTGCTTCAAAATATCCTAATGACTCTACAACACAATGTCACAGATGACCAAAATGTTCACCTGTCAAAGCGCTCAGAGACCCTCTTCAAGCTAATCAACCCAATACGGCCATAATTTCTTTGAAGCCCAATTCATTCAGCTGTCAGTCAGTTGCTGCCAAGCTCTATAAATGTTGATTAAGCACCGGATAAATACCATAATGATGTTACCAGGAATCCCCGAGGGTTAATTATGTGGCATAGGTACCTCAAAACACTTTACAAAATCATATTTTGATCACTTCAGTGTTCGTAACTTAAGATACTATTCGTCATCCAAGCCGTTTTGTGTTGACGTAATTTGTTCGTGAAGTAAGACGTTCGTGATCCAAGCATACACTATATTCAAGTAAGGATTCTAAATTTTAACAATCGTAGTAAAGTATACATTTTCTGGAAACGTTGTTGTTAAAATTTATGAAATATAATTACTTTTAAGATAATTGATAAAATAAGATATGATATAAGGAATATTAAAAAAACTATTTACTCAGCATTTTTTGTATTATTGTTGAAATTAAAGTTTTTCTTAAAAAGCCCACTGATATTAATATTAACACATATGTCGAAAGAGATTTTCTTAACTGCCATTTAGTATCAACGTGTTATGCATAGTATGAATAACTTTGATGTATTGCATACCTGGTTGACGCATTGCATCGTTAATGTATTTCATACCTGGCAAACGGAAGTAATTTAATTTTCGGTCTAAAATAACCATTTCTTTTTCCGATTTTAAATTTCATATTCGAAATTATGACAAAACGTCAGAAGACTTTTGGAAATCTGTAATATTTTCCGCTAAAGAAAATTTTCAAAATAAGCAAAAATAGAACTCAGTGTTTATGGCTTTTAGAATGCACAGTACTGAAAAAGGTCAGCCAGATATTTGAAGATAAAAATGGAAAAAATTCATCTCTTTAAAAAAATCTTTTAACCTTGATAATTCTAATAACTGGATTTTATTCCTGTATGAAGGTAAAGTAATATATATCATAGAAGAAATTTACCATATATTTTCTATTTTAGTTGAAAGAAAAATGACTGCATATTTCGCGCCATAACACTTGAAGTGGAAAGTGTCCCCAAAATGCAAATAACGCGCCTGACTACTGAAATCCTTCTAAATAAACTGAATAAAAAAACTGAATTAACCAAAAAAAAAAACCCTTACTCATTACCATACCAAGTTGTTGAAAATTATTCTCCTCATTTGGCTTCGGATTTCTACGAAATTACTGGGCGAAAGGTCAGAATCTTGTTGACCGCTGGAAGGATAAAGTTTCTCTTTGAGGTTTTTGATAAATAGCGAGAATGAATTCGAAACTTCCGTCTGCTGATAGCCGCTATCACAAGAAAAAAAAAAAAAAAAAAAAAGAGTATGTTATGAAATTGTTATCATGCAATTAACTTCCAGATGAAAGAAGATCTAACCAAAAATGGAAAGAAATGGCGACCCTCCCGCCAGTCTTCGAGAAGAGGATGATAGGAATTCAGTAGCGACGCTTCCGACGTGCAGTGTAAAAACACAATATTTGCGGTCGGATACAAACAAGACAGTTTCTGGAAATAATATTACGCGCTTTCTAGAACGTACTTATTGAGCTGTATACTGTTCTGTGTGGTGTATTTTAGCTTGGATATAAGAACATGCTCGCGGTGCTGCTTTTGTGCGAAATGTTGGTGGTGGTCGCATCGAAATCCACCCAAAGCTTGGAAGAGGATTGCTTTTGCCCGAAGATACAAAAGAAACTGACAGAGATAGAAGAGAAGTTATTAGTTGTATTAGGGAAAGCAGAAGAATGGATGCCGTATATTCCTGTCGTTCACGAATTACGTCAAACTGTGGAGCTTCAAGAGAATGCCATTAGAGAACTAAAAGAAAAAATTCAGTCGCCTGCACTTCCTGTGCCAGAAGCCTTAATCATGAAACCGGAGGTTAATGAACAGGTAAGTCAAATTCGAAAATATTTCAGGTATCATGAATTATGTGGCTTTATTTTCGTTTTATATTTTATATTTATAATTTCGTTGGTCGCTTAGTAAAGGTAAATAAAAAATATTCTATTTTTCATTTACCTTTACTAAGCAGCCAACGAAAAGCCAATTATTTAACAGTCCACATGTTAAGTGTACTAACAGATTATGTTTAAAACTGTTTAAAATTGATTTAAAATTCAAGCAATAACACAACAATTTTCAGTTGTTTTACTATATCCTTGATGCTACACGTCCATTAATTTGACCGATGGGCATTTTTAGTTTTGACTTTGGCAATACTGGTTGAGCAAAGGAACTGAGGGAGTTTATGACCTTTACATTTCACTAGTATATACTGCTACGTTTTTCTTTTCTCTTCTGACACCAGTTGTTCAGTTATTTTCTTCCTTCACGTTCGTACGGGGTTCGTATGGATTTGGAGTGAATAATGACGACACTACTTGATGAAGTATCGAAACAACATTAACCAGTGTAATCAGGACACACTAACTGATACGCAGTCGCATGGACCTCCGAGCTAAGGTTCTACACCAATCAGAGTTATATGTCCATGCGATGGAAAAGAATCTACAATCCACCGCCAGCGGCATTCACTGAATCAATGATAGTAATATTACAATGCTATTACATTGCTAAGTGACACAGTGTCATCTTATACAATAATTGTTACATAATAATCCGTATGAAAAATAACATATACGAGTCAATTAATAATTACATTGTCATGGATAGGATCTATGTTGTGGAGAGTGGAACTTATATATTCAACCAGTTTTTAAACCTATGTCTTCTTCCAATACATCATAACTTCATATTCCTTATTCAGTTACACACCTAATGATGTGTGTCCGTATTTAGTGTTTGCAGTTATCCACAGAGTAAGCCAAGTCAGATCAGTTCAGGCAATTGATAGTTTCCATAGCCCAAAGGTTATATGATGTTGTGTAGGCTATTCTATGTTCATATAAACTGGATTTAAGTTAACTTTCATCGTTCAAAGTAAATACTACTTGTCCACTTTGATACATCATAACTTCGCGTCCTTAACAGTGAGCACACCTCATTATGTGCGTCCACAGCAATTTGCAAACTGTGTCGCAATTATCCACAAGACAAACATGAAATTGCAATTGGGAATTTCATTGTAATATGTACACTATTTTACTATTATCCACAGAAGCAAATGTTTTGTAAATAATGACTTCGCTCCCAGATGATAAAAAAAAAAGGAAACTAATTCTTAAATTTTTCAATACAATTCTAAATTGTGCAAAACTACAGATTTGTTAAACAGTTCCAGTCAATACAAATTGACCGGTATTCCAACAATATAAAGCACATATTCTAAGACTGCGGACCAGCAGGGTTTATATAGCTTTCGGCTTGTGTTCGAGAACATTCTGGGCTAAACCGGGAAGAATTCGTTCCAGAAGGTTCTCCATCCGTCCATGGTATAACGCCAATTTTTTCGCCAAATGGGCGGTTTCTCTCCAAATGTTGCAACCCTGCCTTCCCTTGCCATTTTTATGGCAACCTTAAAACTGCTTTGCGGGGAAGCCATCTTACCGCGCCTGTACATTTCGTAACAATACTACATCAATATTTGGTAACCACAAGTTTTCTGCTTTTGTAAAAGTTTCAAAATTGTAATACGTTCATGATCAGTTATGTTTAATAATCTTTGTTTGTTAATTTAAACGTTCTTTAATTTTTTTATTGCCTTACGATGTTTTTTTTAAATAATAAAATAGGTAAAAAAAACATTAAAAGTGCATACACGGTTCATGTGTTCTTAAATGTGTTGAATATATCTTACACGTAAATCGTGGTACTTATAATAAAATGAAAAAAAAAAAAAAAAGATCTGAAAGGTTTGAGCATTTAATGATGTCCCAAAAAGATTTGTTATGAAATTTTGTTCTCACGCTGCTGTTACACTCACTTCTACTAACCTTTTCTTTGTCTTTTTAGTTTTATTGTTAAGCATAATTTTCTTCGCAGTTATGCCATACACAGTTAAACAGCAAAATTACAAAAATTTTAAAAGCAGCATAGCAGTGCACGTTTAAAATTTCCGATGAAGCTTTAAGTGTTGGCATATATTTTCTCAGCTCATCATATCAACGTTCAGTTTTCTTACTAAGATGGCTTTACAAAACCTTTTTTTTAAATAAAGTTTACTTATTCTTTTTTTTTTTTAAATCGCACGTTCTTGGTGCTTACACCACATAAAATTCGACTCAGCCGCAGAATCACAAAATATTTAAAAACAGTATATCCTTAGAAAGTCTCACGCGCTGGAGGTAAAAATGTTATTTTTCGTATAGTGCTGCCATCGCTCGCTTTGAAATCGTTGACATTTGTTAACCAAAAATTCGTTTTAAAAGTTTTAAAAGATATGAAATAGATAAAAAAACAGGTTCGAAATTCAAAATTCGGACTTCCAGGTGACCGTATTCGGGTGGAGGACTACGTTATGCAAAATTTGATGACTCTAAGTGCGGTTGTGTTTTAACAATGCGAAAAACATGGATAAATTCATGCAGATTCTTCCTTGTTTAATTTCTTTAATTTAATGCAAGGCGATAATATTTGGTGGCAGCAATTTAAAAAAGTGAAGCGGACGTTTATAGTGAACCGACGCAAAATGCCGTTTTTAAACTAATAGCCCTTCTGCGCTAAAAAAAGGTACATAAAATATATCAGTAAACACAGCTGAAATGTTAATCCCTTTATTAATATTATATATCGCGAAGATTCTAAGGTCAGCATGTTATATTGATATCCATTTTATAGTGAAGTTGAAAGCTTTTGTAATGACAAAAGTTAAATGTTTACATCGCAAAGGAAAAAAATGCAACAAGCTGTAAAGCTATTTTTATGGTTTTCAGTCGACAAATAGCGTAAGCAACAAATAAAGTAAAAAGTACAAAATGCAATACATTAGTGGAGGCCCTCTGCCATCCAATGAGCTTAACCCTTTGCGGCACAATGTGTCCGGTCTGGACACACCTAAAAATTTCCTTCTGTACGCACAGAAAAATTGAATGAAAAAGGATTTATAGGTCACTCTGAACCTTCTTTATTTATAGTAGATGGCAGCTCAACACAAAACAGTCCATATATTTTAGCCATGTTTAGTTTTTTAAGACCCTTATTTTTCAAAGAAATCTTATCTTTGAAAAATCCTCAAATTTCTTTTAGGGTATAAAAGAAATTGTTTGAAAGGAAATTTCTATGTTATTTTTTTGCCTGTATGCTAATCTCCTTATTCTATATTAGTTTTAAATTTTTACCTTGAAATCTTGCCTAAAATCAAACGACGATCCCTAGGTGTGCTCAGAGCGGGCTCACCGATAATCTGGGACAACTCAGAGTCTGTATTCTTTGTTTCTTCGTATCTCATCGGTCAGTTCATTGACAACAATGCTCGTTTCAGCACTCTTTTCGAAGTTCTATTCAATCAGTGGGCCTTTTTCGGGCACACCGACAGAAATAAACGATAAGTGCTATCTTCACAAAATTTTATTTGTGTATTCCTCTAGGCCTAATTAGACTGTCTACCTTTTTTTTTTTTTTTTTAATCAAAACTCCGACTTTAAAAGGTAGCGTGCCGGAAAGGGTTAAGGCACTGAGATCCTTTTTGATGGCCCGAGCCATGTTAGTAAAATATATTATTATTATGGGTTATTATTACAGACTGAGTTGGTATATGTTTATACGTTTTCTGATATTAGATTTTTATTAATATATAGCTGAAAAATTTACTTTGATGAATTTGTTACATTTCCTGAGAGCTACAGTTTTCAGATTAACTTGTATTGAATTAGAGTATGGTTTAAGAGTTTCACTGAAATTTAGTGTTAGACTTTATGTTACGTTAGAATAAAATTTAAAGACTTAAAAAATTTTTTTGAAAATTTAAAATAAGGACAATATAATGCGAGTATTGTGCATAATACTGATACCGTCTTCTGGTTTTATATCTCTGACACTAATTTAATTTGATTGATTGGAATTTTTGTGATAATTTGTAACTAAATTCATTGTGTTCTGTAATACAGACCATTTCTGTATTATTTTGGTATTTTAACTGTATATATTTTTATTTTATAATTGTAAATATGTTTAACTGAAAGAATTTTTATATACGACCCCATCACAGTGTTAGAAGAATATTTCTAATTGATTGTTTGAAATACTTGAACTGTACTGTATGATGAGTCAATTACAGGCTGATGGAGAAAGAGAATTTGCTGAGGCGGATGAAGAAATTTTTGATGGTTCTGATATGATAAAAGAAAATTGTTTAAAATTGTCTGATATGGGTTCTAAAAAAAAACCCACAGGAAGAAAGCTCACAGGAATAATGCTCATAGGTATAAATGCTCACAGGAAAAAAGCACACACTTAATGAATCAATAATTAATCGATTTGAACATCGTTCACCCACTTGAATTTTCTAAAGAAAAGTTATTTAAATTACCAAAACATCTATGGTATATATTTCAAAAACTGTATAACTTATGTGTAGATTCAGTTGTTACACAAGATTAACAAATGGGCCGTTTTGAATTAAGAAAAGAAGTGGAGAAAGGAAGTAAACAATGAAACAGAATTTACAGTGAAAAATTATTACAATTTTAATTGTTAAAAAAATAAACTAATAATAAATATAAGTTACGCATTTTATAATATAAACATTTAGAAGAATAATGAATAACGAATGAGAATTCAGAATGATAATTTTATTTAAATTACTTAAAATATTTAATTTTATCATCGATTTCATCATATTTTTTCATCATATTTTCTGACATGGTTCACGATTACCAAATGTAAGTTTTCATGTTTTTTTTTTTTTTTTTTTTTTTTGTACTTCAGTACATCCTGTATTTACATTAGCTAAGAACAAACGTTGAGAGGCTAAATCTTTTTTCAACCGGTCA